GTCTGACACAGCGGCCGGAGTTCTTTCCCAGGCTATTTAAAACTCAGGCCGTGACTGAACTGCAAAAATGAGTTTTTTTTGCAACTCAAAACTCGAATTTTGACGTGGCCCTTAGGTCGCGCTTTTCGTAGCCAGCTGGGTTTTTGTTGAGTTGGTAGTTGCTGACTATTTTTGCATGAGCTGGCTATTGGTGGGTTGTTCTATTCATTTTTAGATCTGTAAAATACCTATAGGGTCATGCGTTCGGGAGACGTAAGGTGTTGACGTCCTCCTTCCTCTTCTCTATGGATGTTGTGTCTCTTCTCCTTCTTCTACTTTCTTCGCTGTGTTATGGTGTGCCTTCCTGTTGTCACTCTCAAGTCTGAGATTGAGTTTTCACTCATTGAGTGTTTTCAATTACCTTATGTCTCTATCTGCCCTCCTGCCTTTACTGCTTAACTGCCTGCCTGCCTGTGTGCACTGTGTTGGACTTCCTTTGCTGCCTGACCTGCAGTTTCCGTGGACTTGTGGAGTTGCTGCTCTGTCCAGGACTCGGATCCGTTCTCTTTCTATTGCGAACTCCTGTGCAGTACTTGGAATTCATCTCCTGTTGGCTGTGTCCGTCCTTTCAATCCTTATTTATTTATTTATTTTTCCCCACATCAATGTGACATGAAAGACTTTCAATGCTCCTGCTGTGGAGGTTCTTTTTTTTTTTGCTTAATTGAGGTTCGCTTGACTTTTTGGATATTGCATTTAAAATGTCATAAAAAATAGTATGATTACCCTTTTAATTAGTGCAATATTTACATGTCGCTGACTGGTGGATAGATGCCAAAATCCCAGAGAGCGGGATCATCTCTTCTATCTTTGTTGCTGAAAGACGAGCTCATCATCCCTTACATGATGAAAGCTCACACACTGGAGCGGGCACATCTCTTATATGTATGTGTTATTGCAAAAAACTCATTTCCGAGAGAGAAGAGGCAATGTCGTCTCTTTTTCTCTTTTCCCCTTTTTTTTTGGGGGGGGGGGGRGGGGGGGGGGGGGGGGGGTAACTATGACCGCATCAAAAACCAAGGTTGGATTTTCAATAGAAACAGGTTAACTTTTTGCAGTCTAGTTGCCTGCGGAGTTTTAAAAGGGGGTAAATGGGGTCTAGGAGCCAGGGGAGTTGGTCAAAAGTCATGTCCAGTGTGGCCAAGGCATCACGGCTGTAGTGGTTTTGGAGTTACTCATAAAATGATTCTGCTGATCTCAATTCAAATGACTCGCTGTTTAATCATTGCGCTTTACTTGGTATGGCATAGCTTCACGAGCAGGTCCCGAATAAGTTAGTAGTTACTCAGGCCATCTCTAAATTTCCTTGAATCTTCAATTGCTCTCAGCTGAAGCCGGGTAATGGCACCCGTATTCCAACGAGTTGTGGCATTATATATGGGACGCTGGGCCCAGTTCCCAGCACACGCAGCTCTCCACGAATAGATTGGCACAATTTGTCCCCCCCAAAAAAGAAAGGAAAAAGCATGGCAACCGCGGACCGGGACCCGAACATGTCTGGACCAGTCCAGGCATCCGGTAATCCGGACAGGTACCTGACCGGGGGAGAGGACCGACCGTCTGGACCGGTTCACCGGACCCCAAAAATGTCCGGACTGAAAAAAAAAGAAAAAAAAGAAGAAGACAAAAAAAAAAAAAAAAACATTACCTGCCTCCCTGTGCCTCGTTGTTACCTCCTGCCTCCTCGTTGCCTCCTCCTCATCGCTCCATGTCACCTCCTCCTCATCCCTCCATGTCACCTCCTCCCCCATCCACATTACCTCCTCCTCATCCCTCCATGTTACCTCCTCCTCCCTCCCCATTACCTCCTCTCTCCACGTTACCTCCTCCTCGCTCCATGTTACCTCCTCCTCCCTCCACATTACCTCCTCCCACCATGTTCCCTCCTCTCTCCACGTTCCCTCAATGTTACCTCCCCCTGTCTCCATGCCGTCCACAATATCTCCTCCCCCTACACGATCTCCTCCTCCCTCCATGTCACTTTTACCGTGACAACGTCCGGTGCAGCTCCCCACCAAAAGAAAAGGAGCAGCCCTCACTCCGGCCTTGATATCTGGGAGTGCCCCTACCACCCTGGGGCCGTGACCCACTAGCGGGGGTTTGGTTTATGTTTCCTGTGTTTTCCAACGTGGTCCCACTAGGGCCGTGAGATTTTCAGATCGGATGGCAAGGAGCCATGTACACTCGAATCCAGAACAAAGGGCCTCGAGAAGTGGGACATGGCCCCCGAATAGCAGCTCTGGGACTCGAGGGTTTGGGTTAAAAAAAAAAAAAAAAAAAAAAAACCAATCGCCACCTCATACTTGCCAGTTTTGATTGGCTGTCGAAACTGGTTTTTGCAGTGTCGTCGCCAGCAGAGTTCTGAATCCAGTTTTCTCGTACCAGAGGTTTCGGCCGAGTTCTGTCTGTGGCTACACCGTGTCGCGGGATCTCCATGCTGCGGTGGGGTGAAGTGCTCATCTTGGGGCTTCACTTTCACCCCTAGCTGTCTTGGGGTCGGACTGAGCATACAAATCAGCGGTCTGCAATTCTTACTTTTGCTCATTAGTAGGATGCGCTTATCACCCCCCCTAGTGACGCTGCCCCAGCTTTTGGAAAGAAAAAAAAAAAAGAAGGAAGGGTGCTTTTGCTCATTAGTAGCATGGCCTGGGAAACAAACGGGAGGGAGAAAAGCGCAATGACCATACGTCTGGCTACCTTCGGGGCTTTGCTATAGTAAATTTCATCTAGAAATGCTAAATACCACCGCACTAATGACAGGGCTACTGTCTGCTGCTGAACACAATTTGGCGAACTCGTCCTCATCATCACTGTACTGGCCGGAAAGATAGGTTGTATAAATTCATAATGAGGATGCATTATGTTCAGTGAAAGACAGTGGGAGTCCCGTTTCACACTCACGACGGATCGGAGTTCTTTCTGAATACAGACTGCTTCACGTGTCGCTCAGCTCTACAAGCTCGCACTAATCATGCCCCATTACTACCTGTCTTCTTCTTCTTCCTCCTTCCCCTCGTGCTGTTCTTCTTCTGTCTCTTATACACATCTAGATGTGTATAAGAGACAGCCCTTTCACAGTGATCCCCTCCTGCACCTATTGCTCCATTATCTCCTCCTCTTTCTCCCCCATCCCTTTCCTCGCTTCCCCCTCTTCCTCCTCTTCCTCCTCTTCCTCCTCTTCCTCCTCTTCCTCCTCTTGTCTCTTATACACATCTAGATGTGTATAAGAGACAGGTTTGTGGGCAGAAGCTGTAAATTTCTTTCTTGTGTATGCATCGGCGCATGGCGATTGCCCACCCACTCAGTATTCTTCTACTTCCTCTTCTTCTATTTGCCCTTGCTAGCTACTTGTATCTTCTTTCCCCTCCTTTCTTTCTTTCTTTCTTTCTTTCTTTCTTTCTTTCTTTCTTTCTTTCTTTCTTTCTTTCATGTCAGTGCATGTGAAAGTTTGACGCCATGCATGCCGCAGTATGCGAGCTTGTACTCAAATTCACTTGTCAATGACAGTTTTTTTAACTTTTTTCTGTATGGCAGCTTCAGTTTACGCTCACTGCTTGTCGTTGTCAGGTCCTCTCCCCCCCTCTCCTCCCCCCCGCCACTAAGTGAGATTCAGTCTGATTTCACTTGGGGACCGTTGCGGCAGACTGTTTTCCCCAGCCTAGGTGTTCACCCACAGCTTGCTCGAGGAGTCCAGGTCCAGTCGGGGTACCCTGACCGCCATTCATTACCAAAGGTACCGGCCACCTTCTCATTATCACAGGAGCCAAAATGAGTTCCGAATACTAGTAGGCAAGGAAAACACGCACCAGCAGCGTCAGCAGGTCACTCACTCACCAAGTTAGAAAAGGCAACAAAAGAGGCGCGAGCGCCGATGTCACAACTAAAGGGGTGGGCAGTGGTGTGCAGAGGGCCTGAGTGAAAAAAAAGGACGAAAACCCCCAGGGCCGCTATTTTTACTTTTTCTGCACATTCCCAACTGGCCCTGCAACAGAACTGCAGTTAGTGTTTTTTTTGCCGAGTATTCGAAACTCAAACCTTGACTGAGACCCAGTTGTTTCATGTTTCTTTTTTTCTCATATATGAGGCCTGCAGTGGGTGTGAGAGGCAGACAGGCTTTGATCTCATCTTTTTCATTTACGAAGACCCTCCCAAGAACCCTGAGGGCTAAATGCCAATTAGAGTTTTTTTTTTTTTTTTTTTTTTTAAATCAGCCCGCTGACAAGTTAGAGGTGTTGATATGGGCAATCACCTCTAGCTGTCTCGGGGGAACTCCATCTATTGGTGGAGAGCTGCACCTGCTCGAAAAAGGGTCCAGTTTCCCGTATAAAGAGTACAGCTGGATAATCATTGACAGATATTGTGATGACTGGGATATCCTGTGGGGGGGATCCTCTTCCGCCTGAGACAGGCCGGCCCGCCAGAACCACACTTTTCTCAACCTATCAAGCTACACCCCTTCCTTGATTAGCCCGACCCTCACTCGTCCTGATTATCTCAGGCTTCTCAGCGTATCAAGCTTCACAGGGAGCCTTAGCCATTTAAAGTTTTAAACCCTAATGGGCCTAAACCCCTTTTCCCTTAAACCCTTGCTGCCCCTAGTGTTGACTGACAGCTGCTCCCGTGTTCAGGATTCATGACACCGATTCCTGTGTTACTCTTCCAGTCTTCATTCCATTTCATACCATCCCAACTCCACCAGACATTGTGAGGAGGGAGGGAACAGGTCCGGGAAGTACACAGGCGAACGTGGCCACAGTGTGGCCCCTGTGTTCAGATCGGATGGAGGGAACGAGTGCGTACTCGCAACCGAGTCTAAACGCCCGCCAGTGGGACGTAGCCCGGGGGCGGCTATGCTTCACCACGCCATAACAGATGGTTCAATCCAGGTTCCATGTCCTGGACAGCAATTAAATTTTTGTGACAGCTGAGATTCGCTGGCTGGGGAAAAACGCAAGGTAGCTGGCGAAACTAGGATGGCGGTCTGTGGGGACATCCTTTCCYCCCCCCCCCCCCWCCCCTCTTTAATATTGGAAGGGTCCAGAGAAAAGATCAGCAACTAGGATCGTGGTCCATCGGGACCGTGGCATGCTCTCAAACGCCCAAGGACGAACAGGCAAGGAATACGACAAGGTGAGCAAAGATGGAAAGAATCTCCGTGACGCAGTAAAGACTCTAAGGAGCAAGATCTTTAGCAACAGAGTTTCTTGACCAAAAAAAAAAAAAAGAAGAAGAAGAAGAAGAAGAAGGCAAAAATAGATGCTTTAAGTCACAGTCTACACCAATTATCCATGTTGAGAGCGGACAGCCCGCCGGGTGACAACACAGGCAGCGAGGCGATGCAGGCAGCAGTGAAGCAAAGGTGGGCGGAGGGGGGGGGATGGGTTGGTTGGGTGGGCAATCAGGCTAGCAACAGATCAGTCACAGATCCAGAAAGCAGAGCAGACAGGGCACATATCCAACAAGCAGGCAGTGAGCAGCAAGCTGCCAAGGCAGGTAGCATAGCAACCAAGCAAGCATCCATAAGGCAAGCAAACGGGAGATAGACAGCGGGGCAAGGGAGGCAAGCAGGCAGGCAAGCAGCGAGGCCTGCAGCAAGGACAAGCAGCAGGGTAGGAAGTCAGCGCAAGCCTTAGACAAGCGGATAAGGCAAGCACCTGGGAACCTCCAGCAGGGCAGTCCACAGATACCGCCCTGACCACTGGCCTTTTTTTTTTTTTTTTTTTTTGAGAACAACTTCAATTTATTTGTGGGGAGCATGTTCTTCGAACCGGGCCAAGCGACCCATATGAAAACTTTTGCGGAACAATTGAGGTACCTACAGACTGACTGGGGGCTCACTCCGCCGTCAAGAGTCACTGCAGGGAGTTACTTTGATGGAAGTCTGTCACAACCAGGGAATACAGAGACACCTATGCAGTCCCCCTCTGAGTCATACTGTTGAAGACACTTCTAACAAACAGGCACCGATTACTTGGCTCATCTCAAAGGTGCTGCACAGCCTGCACTTCAACACTCAGTCTGATGAAGATGCAGGATGAAGCCACCCTGCACAAAGTGGACGCAAGGACAAAAACCCCTGGAGGGACAGGAAGAAAAGAAGTTATAAATCGTATGATATTCTGTGTGCTTTTGTGAGCTTGTGTGTGTGTGTGTGTGTGTGTGTGTGTGTGTGTGTGTGTGTGTGTGTGTGTGTTGTGCAATACTTTGTGCCTGAAGCAAACAGTGAACCTGGCGGCTTTGCATATAATTTAGTAATTAATAATTAGTAATTACCCTTTTGTCAGACTGATGGTACACACCCATAACTGTTAATTGATGAGCTGTATGCTCATATCATCATTCCTAATCATCTCAGTTGTTGTTTTTCAGCTTTTGCTTTAAAAAAAAAAAAAAAAAAAAAGGGGTTGCCTGTAACATGTGATGATTGCGACTGAGTAATCGTGATCACTTCCTTAATTTTGTGCCTCGATGTTTGCTTGCTATTGCCACTGCTGTCAGTGCATCCATCCATCAACCCCCACCATCCTCATTCCATGAGCCATCCTGTTCTTACTGTGGCAGGTTTGCTGGTGGAGGGAGGAGTATCTGGTGGACGAGGAGGAACTTCATTCTGGTGCTGAGTTGCTGAGTGAGTTTCTGAGTTACGGAGTGAGCTTCGGAGTTACTGAGTCACTTACTGAGTTACTGGGGGATTGAGTTACTTAACTCACTGTTTGAATTTCTGAGTTATGGAGTGAGTGAGTTTTTGATCTGCTGAGTTACTGAGTCGCGGACTTATGGTGGTACGGAGTAACTGACTGGTTTTCTTGCAGAGGTATTAGTCTCACCCGACCGAGAGCGCGATTTACGGTTTACTGAGTTACTGATTTATTATGTTTCCCACCTTGCTAATCTGCTTTTTTGCATTTAAAATTTAAATACTTTTCTTTGCATTCCAATTTTCTTCTGATATCCGCAACGCTGTTGGAAAAAAATTACTCACTGATTTAGTCAGTTGCTGACTCATCAAGTAACTAAGTTACTGCATAAGCGAGTTAACTCCTGAGCTTAACCAGTTACTGAGCAATGCAGTAACTTGCACTAAGTTAAACTGAGTTATTGACTGAATCCGGAACTAAATAACTCGATAGGTCCCTCCCCAGATGAGCCTAGCTCAGTTGGTACACCCATCAATTGTTGAAATTTGAATCAGACCCAAGTTCAAACCCAAATTAATGACTTGAAAATTTAAAAGTTAAAGTAACTCTGAATTACCTGGGGCCAGTCATATCGAAAGGCTGTTCTGTTCCCCTTTTAAAAAATTACTGGGTAGGTCCCTCAGCAGTGAGTTCACACCTGATGAATCTCAAGTGACTGAGTTACTGCGGTCGTGAGTTACCTCCTGCGCTTGATCAGTTACTGAGTAACACAGTAACTGTGCTAACTCAGTCATTGAGTGGATTGGTGACTTGGTAACTCAAGAGTTACTGATGCAGCTGCAGTGAGTTCACTCCAGTAACTGAGTTGCTGTGTTGTTGATTTTGTGACTGCTGAATCACTCAGGGAATCCTCACACAAGGATTTTCCTGGATGTATTGGACCGCTTTTACCACCACACCTGGATGTTTCTCACCGCAGTAATGTCCAGAGTTCACTCGAAAAGGTCCTCGTAGTGTGAGTATGCTGTCAGGGAGCTACTGAGCTACTGAGTGAAACTCACCGAGTCGTCGAGTTCCTGACCTTTATATATTTTTTTTTCTTCCTGACCTTTAGTTTAATAATAAAAAACAGCTGGAGTTTGGATTTACCGTTGGACGCAATGCCATTTGGAAAGAAATAAGGAGTAGAAACAAAGATCTCCCTCTTATAGTCAAAGTATATCTGGATTGCACTTCATGAAATTCATCTGGAGCACTGGTGGGAAGGTGGACAGAGGGAAGAAAGAAGAAGAAAATACCGCAAATTTTTGGTGCAAAAGGAACATATAACAGGATCGAAGAATATCTGTGATCAGTGCTCCATTGTCCGGAATCGTTATAGGATCGTATCATGGTTCTATTTTTAGAATCATGCTATAATTTTCTCTTGACGTCACAGCCTCCACCTTGACATCACAGCCACTTTCGGTACAAGTGCCTCCTTCCAAGTTTCTGCCTTCGTCTCTCTTGTCCTCCCGGTCCTTCCTTCAGACTACTCTCTCTCTCTCTCTCTCTCTCTCTCNCTCTCTCTCTCTCTCTCTCTCTCTCTCTCTCTCTCTCTCTCTCTCTCTCTCTCTCTCTCTCTCTCTCTCTCTCTCTCTCTCTCTCTTTGTGCATGTTCCTGCATTTGTCCTTGAGAGTTTTTTTTTTTAATAATTAATATATCATTTAGTTGTGTTAATTTTGATACTTTATTGGTTCTGTTGTAGTTTGTTCCGTTCTATTTATAGGTCTTCAGCCATCTTTAGATTCTTTACCCTCTAGGCCTGTGTGATCACATCCCCCGTCAAGCCCTCTAGATACCAGAAGAATTACTCATGGCTCTCTCTGGAGGTGGCCACCTCACCCCCACCTTCCCAATCCACCACCTCCTCCTCCTCCTCCTCCTCATAAAGACAGTAGAGCTCGTCCGACTCGCTGCAGCTTCTTCTGACTCGTTTATGATTGCCACAGCTATGGCCTCCTCCCCATCTCCATTTGTCGATGTCTCCACCAACCTCTCGTCGCCAAATGTCATTGAACCCTTCCCTCAGCGTCGTACGTCCAAAACCAGTTCCTTGGCGAAGAAGGGAAGAGTCGCCATCGCCTTCATCTCTTATGATGGCAATGGTTGTGAAAATGCCTCAACTGTCACAGGAGAGATCAAGAAGGACGGTTCGTCTTTTGTCCTGCGATTCTCGAGATTGGCTGCTGCTGTTGGGCCAGCAGATAAGGTTCAAGGCTTACCCGCCCGCTCCTCCTGCCAGTTGGATATCGCGCTCAGCTATCCGCATGGCCTCACATTCTCCATAGCCGGCTTCTCCTTCAGCGGGGATGTTCATCTCGATGGAGGAACGTACGCCTTGCAGTCAGCAACGTACTACTTCCGGGGAAGTCCTCTCTCGGCAGCTGTAGTGAAGAAGTTTGGTGGCCCTCTTTCTGGCCATTACGTTACCAAGGATGATGCCACCATGGATGTTGATGTACCTGTCTACAGCAGCTGCACCAGTAATCGCAACTTGACAATCAAGCTTGAGTGTGCAGCAATCAATGATGGGCAACCAGAGCGATTCGCAGCTATTTCGGTGGATAAGCTGGACGGGAAAGTAACTGTTAAGGCTCATCTGAGCTGGAAGAGATGCCATGGCTAGAAGACCTTCAAGCTTATCGCCTCCCTCCCTCCCTCTCTCTCCATCTCTCTCTCTCTCTCTCTCTCTCTCTCTCTCTCTCTCTCTCTCTCTCTCTCTCTCTCTCTCTCTCTCT